GATACGTTATTGTGCAGTGTAACTCTTGTTTATGTTGGATTATATGCCTGAGTAGTATTGAATGTCCGTCGGTGATAATAATGGAAATTTTGTATTGTTGAGCTGTTGAGATCTGTTGTGGAATGATGCATGTTGCAGGGAATGCTCGTTATGTTGGATTATATAGCTGTTTTTTTTCTCTTGATGCCCAAGTGTTGAATCGACGCAAGTTTTCTCTTGATGCCTAAGTGTTGAATCGACGCAAGGTTTAGGAACATAGCAGTGTGTAAGTAGCACTAAGGGGCGGATGTGTGTGTTAGTAGGTGCTTTTGACATGGTTTCTTTTTCAGCTATCTTATTTTGTGCATCTTATGTATGTAAAAGTTTTTTTGTCATGGTTAAAGGCTTGTAGATGCTATCGATGAGTTACGTTCTTGCTGTAGGTTTGTTTTGAGAATTAATGATGTGATTTTTCATGCTATTAGGTGTTGAACAAAAATTGTTAGGTGAAGTCGGGATATTCTTGATGTGGTTTCTCATGTTGTAATGTGTTGGAAAATTTGTTTGTGATATGTTTGAACTCTCATGACGTAGTCCTTCGCGATATAATGTGCTGAAACTTACTTATCATATATGTTTTGACACTCTTGTTGTGACCGTATATAGTAGAAAGTGTGGGAATAATTTGTATGAATTAGCTGGGCTTTCTTCTCGTAGTTTCTAGGTGTAAGAGCATCCTGAATCAAGAGGGTCATTGTCATTGTATTGCATATGGTGTAGAAAATGCTAGGATCTTGTTGTTGTGACTTGTGACTATGTTAGTCGTGTTATCTCTTGGCTTGGGCTAATGTGTTGGAGTACCTATTGTGGAAATGAGCTGAACAAATGTTAAATTGTGTGTTTTTGTGTTCTGTAATGCGTTACTGTCCTATTGGATGACTTTGATGCGAAAATATGCTGTGGGAAAATTGGAATGGTAGGATAGGCTTTTAACAGAGGACCATGACTCGAATGCGGGGTCGGTTGTGTAATGTGAGGTGGATACACAAGTGTACCAGCTTCGAGGCAAGTGGTCGAGGATGTTACGTCACTACTGGGTATCGAGGCTCTGGGTACAAAAGGATGGGGGTCGGCATGATGAATCTTTGATGAGGAGTATTGGTTCTTGATGTGGTGACGGTCAAGGACCAATACGCTGAGTAGACGTCTTGGCCTTGAGTACAAAAGGTCAAGGGTCGATGCACAGTTTGGGGTCCTGAGAGTAGGGTTCAAGGGTCGATGCACAGTTCGAGGTCCTGAGAGTAGGGGTCAAGGTCGAACGTCAAGCTTCGGTATAGGAGTGTCGGGGTATTGGGTACAAAAGGCTGAGGGCCGATACGAATCAAAGAGTTAGACTTGGAGGACTAACATAATATGATGGGCAAGAAGAAACTCGGGAAGGGTAGAAGGCAACAAGCCTTGCGGTCGAAGTTCTGTGAGGCGTGATGCTTGGACCGTATGTATGTGTATTGACTTCTGTTTTTATTTTTTTTTCCTATTGTGATGGTTACCATATGTAGTCTTGTGATGCGTGTTGCGATGTCGAGCATGATGTCTGTGTTTAGTTAGTGAGGGCTACTTACGAAGTATTTTTACATACTCACGCCCCTCTGCAATTATTGTTTTTAGGTGTAGGCCAAGTGTGTGGCCATGGTGATGACGTGGAGGAGGCTTGACCAAGAAAGGGGCTACGTTAACCTTACTCAGGATAGTTGAATTGTAGTATGACTGTCGGGGGCGTAGGGACTCATTGATAGTAGTGGACTAGCTATGGTTGTTTTTGTTTCGCGTTGAAGTATTTTGTTTCCTTTCCAGTTGAACCTTTGTCGTCACTTGTTGGATTGCTCATTTACCTTGGACTTGTTGGTCAAGTAGAAGTTTCCTTTCTTTATGAACTTATTAGCTCACTGAGGGCAGACAATCTTCATTTAGGAGATTTGGAGTATGAGTTCCCTCATTGTTATCCTTTATTTGTTGTCTTATGCTTTCGTTCTGGGGGAGAGTTGAATAGGGAGTTTGTTCCCTGGGAGCATTGTTGAATTTTTCTGGGGCATTACAGGCACTCTGCTCCAGCATGCTCGTCCGGAGGTTTCATCGGGCTACGACATGGGTAACGCCTCTGTTGCGAGACCTAACTGTAAGTTTACGAACTTGTTTTTCTCCGCATTCATCTCCTAAAATGTTTGAATGCTTGGACTTCAATAGCTCTTTTTTGGGTTCATCTGTCACTTGATTATGTCTTCATATGCATTTCGATTTGTTGATTGGATTGGCAATACACAGTTCTTCGTTTCTCTTTATTTCTGCTTAGTTTTTGGACGGAAGAGGTAGGTTCCTCTTCTTACAACCCTAAATTTATATAAAGAACTCATATGATTGTTTGTTACTTTCTCTAATGTGATTTTTCTCTTATGTGTTGACATCTATTTTGTTTCCGATTCTGGTTTTTCGGATTACAACTGCCTACTAGTTTACCTTTGGGCTCAATTTTATTTTATTTTTAAACTTAAATCCTTTGTTTTGTGTCACTCATGGAATAATTCAATTTGGGCTAAAAACGTTCTCCTTTCCTTATTTATGGTAGTAATTTTATGATATTACTAGAACTGAGCTCCTGTTAGTCTAGTCTGAATTTGGAACGTCAAGACCTTGGTTGGAAATTCTTAGAGTAGAGTTGCGCATTACTTTCTCATATACTGCATTAGCATGTGTTTGTTTCAGATTTATTTTAACGAATCTCAATTCATTATGCTCACACAGGCTGGACAAATAATGGACCTTGGAGTCAGCAGACTGCAAGTTGGGAACTCTTGTTACTGTACAATGGTTCAAGCTCAAATGTGTCAACAGCTTGCTGATAGAGATATGAAAAATAAGGTATCTGACATGCTGCACCTGCCGCTCAAAGTTGTACAGTCATTTCTTTGAAAGTATGGGGCGTACTTTTCTAGTCTATTGATGCCTTAGGAGAGTACATTAGTTCTGTTAATCTTTTAAAGATTTGATTTTTTTTTTTTTGGTATAATTGTTATAGTTCTCACTATTTAAACTGCAGCATTTGGTAGCAGAAGTGATATTAAGTTTGATGAGATATCTTTTATTGAAGGCTTTAAAGAAGGAAAAGAGTTCCATTATCTTTGTTATAATTAGGAGGATAAAAGAGTGCTGGATCTTTTCACTTGTCAAGTTCTTCTGCTCGTAAATCTTTCTGCTTGTTTTTAGTCTCTTCTACTATGGTGCATTAGATTATGTTTAATATTGAGTGAACTTTTGAAATTACAAATGTGTAGTTCTCTTTCTCTTTCTCTTTATTTTGTTTTTATTTTTCTGTCAAACATCCCACAAATCTGATATGCATTGAGTTTCACTTAGACAGAGTAATAGTAATTATTGAAATTATTGTATACGTATTTTATGATAAATTAGTTGAATCTTAAATTGTCTACCAATGATCCAGGATGTTAACAATAGTAAAGCTTTGTGCCAGAGATCAGAGCAAAATGATGGAGACATGAGAAAGCACCAAATTGGGGAAAATGTCTCACGGAAGGACAAAATTAACTTCCTTGTAGCCACAGTAAGTATAAACGGCCAAATATCTTCCTTTTTTAGTTGGGGGTTCAAATTCAACTTCAAGGGTGATGTTTAAAGTTACAGGGAAGACACCTTTATGTATAATTTATACAGTGATTGAAATTATGTTATAGGTGATTTTTCATTAGAGGCTATTGAATTTTATCCAGTGATGTTTGAAATTATGTTGTAGGTGTATTTTCATTTGAACATGAGGCTATTGAATTTTTCATGATAACTAATTCCAAATGCCAAAAACAGACAAAAAAAAAAGAAAGAAAGAAAGAGGCACTTCATGTATAAAAGATCTTCTTAAGAAAGGTCTTGTAAGGTGGACGAGGAACTTTTTAATCTTGTATAGGTCATACCAGTAGAGGCCAAACTAACAAATATTGCTGAAAAATGGAAATTGAAGAGTGTTCTTGTTTCCACAACAATTGCTGAACAAAACACTCCACTGGGGAAAGGCAACTAAATTTTAATTCTGCTTTCATTGATCAATGTGGATTATGCCTTTTCTGGACTTGTGTTTTCTAGGAATTTTTGTCTTCTTTCATTTTTTCTTAATCAAAGTTTGGTTTTTTCTGTAAAAAAATCATCAAATTATAATAAAAAATCTAATTTTTCAGTGAGAAGTCCACTTGCTCTTTGAAATTTGATATTTTGTACTTTGATGCAGCCCAACTAAGGAATAGCTTAACAATATATTATTTGTTCAGCTGTATTCTCTGTCAATATAAGCCCTATGATTTGTATGCAAAATTACTTCTTACAGGAAGATGATTAATACAAGTTCAGAATTACATGACATAAATATATCTGACATTTTTTTATTTAGATGACGCCCATAATAAGCTTTCTTCCATTTATTCAAAGGTCCAATATCAAATTTTGATTTTCTTAAAAGTAATTATATGACCTTGGAGGTTTATCGGTTCTCTTAATCATTCCAATTTTTGAAGCTTGTTGATCTGAGAGGTAGTAAGGAGGCTGTTTATGGTGCTCTTGATGCCTGGGTTGCATGGGAGCAAAACTTTCCAATAGCATCCCTTAAGCAGGTATTAGCTGTTCTTGAGAAGGAACAACAGTGGCATAGAGTTGTTCAGGTATGAACTGTACCAGCCATTCTTTATCTACTCTCTTTTATCTTTCCCCACTCTTCCCATGTTGATGTAGAATCTGTGAGATTAGTAATCTCCCTAGACAAAAGACACGAAGAACATTGAATATATGGGGCAGGAATAAGTGCCTGCAATTAGATGCAAATGCACAGAATCTAAGAGAATGCACAACTGAGCCTTAGTTTGAGAAAGGGTGAATTATAGCGAAGAAACCACACATGAACATCTATTTGATTATTACTCTACAGTTTGATTCAAGTTGTGATCGTGAAATATAGCTTTGTTAAAAATTGATATGTTTACATTATTTTGCATAAACTGGAAAATACTTACACCTGGGTTATAGCATCCAAGTATTATAGATATTACTGAGTTAAACCGTGGAAAAATTAAGTACTAAACATTTTTCTGAAGCTTGCTCCTGTTGGATTTAGATAAAGTTAATGGGTAAAGGTACAGGTTATAGAAACAGTTGGTGTTAGATTCATGTGAATGTCTTCCAGGTAATCAAATGGATGTTAAGCAAGGGGCAGGGAACCACTATGAGAGTCTACGGACAGTTAATACGGGCTTTAGACATGGACCATCGAGCAGAAGAATCGCACAAATTCTGGGTCATGAAAATTGGTGCAGATCTACATTCGGTCCCTTGGCAATTATGCAGAAGCATGATATCAATATACTATCGAAATAAAATGCTAGACAATCTTGTGAAGGTATAATTCTCTCTTTCATTTAGCCAATGTAGTGCGGAAATGACTTTATGTTTGGGATATTGTTTTGTTATTTTCCCTTTTTTCCAATTAAACTATTTGGTATAGGAAGTACATTTTTCCTCCCATCTTAAAAACAAAAAATAGTATGTCTAGACACTTCATGAGGAACTTATCCTAAAGGGCTTCTTGATGGGAAGTAAAAGGGTCCCTTTAAACCTCCTTCAATATGTGGATGACACAATCATTTTCAGTCAAGGAACTACGGAAGATCTATTACAATGGTTTGAGGTCATTTCCATGTTATCTTTGCCTCGGGTTTGTCTCTCAACATCAACAAAACTTCTCTGGTGGGAATCAATATTAGTGAGGAGATGACGCAAGACTGTGCAACGTTTTTAGGGTGCAAGATTGAATCACTCCCAATGTCCTATCCGGTTTTCCTCTAGGGGGTAATCCAAAAACCCTTGGCTTCTGGGATCCTATGGTGGACAAATTCTGAGCCAAGCTGTCTAAGTGGAAAGGCCTCTTCCTTTCCCAAGGGGGTCGGTTAACTTTGGCCCAATCGGTCCTCAATAGTCTACCTCTGTACTATTTTTCCTTGTTAAAAGCCCCTGTGGGAATTACAAAAGAAATGGACCACCTAGTTCGAGATTTCTTTTGGGAAGGAGAGGACTCTCACTCGTGCAGCCACCTTGTGAAATGGGAATGGACCTCTCTCCCCCTCTCTTTTGGCGGATTGGGTATTGGATCTTTTAAACAACGGAACCATACTCTCCTTCTCAAGTGTCGATGGTGTTTCACTCAGGAATAAGATGCCTTATGGAGAAGAGTGATAGATAATATTTATTGGAGTACAACAAACGGTGGATGGTTGCAATTCCAAAAGGAGCCCCTAAAGGTCGCCCTTGGTACGACATAGGCAGAAATACGAATTAGTTCCTTAGCTTCCTTGGATTCAAGGCAAACAACGGTCAAAGAATCAGGTTTTGGAAGGATTTATGGGTAGGTGACTGTTCTTTAGAAAATGCCTTTCCGAACCTATTCCTTTTGTCTTCCAAAAAAAAGGAATCGATAGCTAATTTGCTGGAATGCCTAGCAGTGTGACTGGGACCTTGGCTTTAGAAGAGGCCGTTTTGACAGAGAGCTAGACAGTTGGCTGGGTTTGGTCAACAAGATCGACGTGGTGCAATTGGGAGAAGGGAGAGATGTGATTAAATGGAAAATAGGAAGCTCGGGCCAGTTTACTACGAAGGAAACGTTCATAAACTTGACAAGTCCTGAATTCATTGATTCTGAAGGCTATTTGGAACTTTAGATATCCAAAGAAGATAAAAGTCTTCTTGTGCTCATAGAGGCTTGAATACGCACGAAAGATTTAAAAAACGATGCAAAAACTGGGCCCTCTCCCCATCGGTGTGCTCTCTATGCAACATGGACGAAGAAACGTTGGACCATATCTTTATTCATTGCTCCTTTGCCCAAAAGGCTTGGTATATAATTTTTAATGTCTTCAATATAAGCTTTTGCCTCCAAAACCACATTGAAGACTGGTTGGTGCATTCACTCATGGGGAAGTTTTAGGCATAAAACCAGAAGCCTTTGGAACTATGTCATTGTGGCTACTCTATGTAACCTTTGGCTAGAACGTAATAGAGGACTTTTAAGAATGAGAGTTTGACTTTTGATAGTTTTTGGACAAACGTACAGCTAATGTCCTCCAGGTGGTGTCTTTCTTTGAATAATTTCTTTTTGTAATTACTCCCTCGGTGTAATTCTCCAAAATTGGAGCTCTTTCTTGAATTAGATTTTTTGAAGAGTAGGGGGCTTCCTCTGACCCTGCCCCTAGTGCTGTACCTCTTTTTTGCGAGTAAAACATACACATGTTTCTTATAAAAAAAAAAAAAAGATCTGTAATGGTTCCTCTGGTTGAAGAGATATTTAGACCTCTTTTGATTATTTTTAGCTTTCCTTGTCCTCTTGGGAGGCAAAAGACTTTTCTACGATTTCAATGTGAATAAAAAAGAGTACCAAAAATCGGTGATCTGTTGACCTTATCTCAGGTGTAAAAATGAAGCATGAGGTCATCCATTAAGACTTCATATTATTACGCTTGTTGGATAGTTCCCAATTAAGACTCCAGTTATTTCGGCGAATTAACAAAGGACTATCATGCAACAGGACAAAGGTGATCAAAACAAAGACTATAGATAAAGAAACGATGGAAAAAAAATAGGGAAAAAGTCTCTTATTTGTTTTAATCCTCCCAAAATCTGATACCAAGTTACTAACTTGATTGTGGTAGGGAAGTGATGTGGATATTTCTTCTTGTAGCTCCTAGAGTAATCCACTTCACAACTTAGAGTAAGATAAATGCCCTTGTAACCCAAATTCGCAAACTTTGATTTTATCAATTCTCATGCTAGTTTGTATAGATATGCAATCAACTGATGATTGAAGTCGAAGTAATTCTAGTAAGATGGGGAAAAAGCAGAAGCAATCTAGCTACTATCATTCCAATTCTGACAGGTTTTCGCCTTGAAGATCTAATATCTCTTTATAGGCTGGTTATTGTTATTGCACTCAATACTGCAGAACCTTCACTTAGTCTTGGAGGTAGAAATTGTCAATGAGAAATTCCTGTCTGATAACTACTACTCTTTGATATAGGAATTTCTACTACTCTTTGCTATAAAAGTCCTAGCCACTAGACTAAAGAAAGTTCTTCCCTTGATCATTCACGATTCACAAGCAGTGTTTGTAGAGGGCCGCCAAATATTAGATGCCATTCTAGTTGCCTCAGGGACTGTGGGTCATTGGAAAAAGGAGAGAAAGAAAGGTTTTTTTCTAAAGCTTGATTTTGAAAAGGCATATGACAAAGTCGATTGGGCCTTCCTCGATGCGGTCCTTAAGGCAAAGGTTTTGAGAGTAAATGGCGTATATGGATTCAAGGCTGTCTTACAACCACAGATTTCTCTATGATTATAAATGGTAGACCGAGGGGAAAAATATTGGCTAGGAGGGGCCTTAGACAAGGGGACCCTCTCTTCCCTTTCTTGTTCACCATTGTGGGGGATGCATTGATCAATTTTTGCAAAGAAAGGAACATTATCAAAGGCTTTTCCATAGGATCGCCTGCTGTGGAAATTACCCACCTCCAATATGCTGATGATGTATTGATTTTCTGTCCTTTTATCCCTCAGATGATGGAAAACTGGTGGGGGATGATTCATTTCTTTCTAATAGTATCGGGCCTCTCACTTAACATAGCCAAAACAACCGTGATTGGTATAAATTGCAGCGCCACAGAGGTTAACATATGGGCTTCTACCTTTAGCTGCAAATCAGAAACCCTACCTTTCACTTGTTTGGGCTTCCCTCTAGGAGGCAATCACAGGGAGCCAATTTTTGGGATCCGGTAGTGGACAAAATACATAAAATACTTCAAAAATGGAGATCTCTGATGCTCTAAAGGGGGACGCCTCACCTTGGCTCAATTTATCCATAATAGCATCCCCATTTATTATTTCTCGATCCTAGAAGCCCCCAAAACAGTGATTACATCTAAGGAGAAGCTTATGAGGGACTTTGTATGGAACGGAGGAAAGCATATGCCGATGGGAAACTTGGTTAAATGGTCATGGTCCGCCTTGCCCCATCAACAAGGAGGTCTAGGGGCATCGGATCTCTATCCCTTAGAAACAAAGCCCTCATGAAATGGCTTTGGCATTTTGCAGTGGGAAAAAACAGTTTTTGGAGAAAGGTCATAGCTGCGATCTATGGAGAAGACACTCATGTCTAGACTACTTTGCATATAGGGGGGTCATCGATTGGCATACCATGGATTGACATTCAAGGTACGAGCATATCTTTTACCAACCTCACCTTCTTTAAAGTTTCAAAGGGTGAGAATGTCAATTTTTGGGAAGATACATGGATATATGACCCACCCCTTTCAGTTACCTTTCCTGATTTTTATGGATTATCCTCCAAAAAATGAAAATCGGTTGCAGAATGTTGGGTTTCAGAAGTTGGGACCTCGTGTTGAGAAGAAATCTCTTTGAAAGGGAGGTGGACAGTTGGGCTGCTCTCACGGAGAAGATAGATGGGGTGGTTTTAGGTCAAGGAACAGATAGGATATGGTGGAAAGCTGATAGCACAGGCCTGTTCTTTGTAAAATCTGCTCTGCTGGCTATTACCACCCCTTCTCCTAAGCTAAATTCGGACAAAACTTGAAATTTTAGAGTTCCAAAGAAGGTAAAAGTCTTCCTTTGGACTATTTTCTACCGGAGCACTAACACGGCAGAGAAACTACAAAAGGGACTTCCACATTTGGCTCTTTCTCCCCATATTTGTGCTTTGTGCTTGCAAAATTCAGAAAATGTGGATCACTTCTTGCATTGTTCTTTCGCTACAGAGGCATGGAATTATGTTGCCTCTCTTAGACTTCTCCTTTTGTCTCCCAAGGAATATAGATGACTTCACAGAAGGCTTTGGTGGAAACGCATTCAAAGGAAAAACTTATGTCCTTTGGAACCGTGCGGCGAAGGCTCTCCTTTAGCTTCTTTGGTGAGAAAGAAATAGAACTCTCAAGGACAAAGCAGTTTTGAAAGATTTTTTTTTTTTTTTTTGAATATCAAGCATACAGCTTCTTTGGTGGGCTTCCATCCACAAAAAGATTTTTTGTAATTACAGTCTGCTTTTGATTATGCAAGATTGAAAAGTGAAAAGCTGAAATTGTATAGTCTTGAGAGAGGGTTCTCTACCCTCCGCCTTTAGGTTGTATTCCTCATTTTTGGGTTTCATGGTTAATATACATCCTTGTTTCTTTATAAAAAAAACTACTCTTTGCTATAGAATGATATCTATTATCTATCATCGGTGAATTTAGAATTCTTCTGGATCTGAGATCATTACTCCTGTTTTCTTTTATGCTGATCTTGCCTTTTGTATTGAAAAGCTTTTTAAGGATCTTGAAGCTTTTGGACGCAAACCTCCAGAAAAATCCATAGTGCAGAGGGTAGCAGATGCGTATGAGATGTTAGGCTTGCATGAAGAGAAAGAGAGGGTGTTAGAGAAGTATAAAGATCTTTTTACAGATGAAAGGAAAGGACCCATCCAGAAATATAACAAGATTTCGTTTGAGAAATCGAAGAGAAGAAGAAAATTGACAAAGGTTTCGAAAGACAATGGCGATCTTAGGAAGCCTCAATGAATGAAGTAAACTGTTAGGTTATAAATTTTTTAAGCATCAAAAAGTGATGTAATAGCAGCAGCTGTGTTAATTGCATAAGATTTTTGCTGCACTATTTATTGGTTTTCTTTTCTTTTCTTGTTGTAGTAGGGAAAATTCATTTGACCTGACCTAATTAGAAATTAGTATAGATTATAAATTTAGTCGTCAGTTGTCACACTTTAAATGTTTTAATTATGGAGTGTTTTTTGAATTTCACTATTCTCCACTAAAAGTGTATATTTTAAAACTGAAGGGACCAAATTGAAATTTAGTTTAATATTTTCTCCCGAAAAAAAACTCAAATCACTGCATAAATTAAAAATAAAATTGAAATGATAATGTTGCTAGCTCAGTCAAATTGTTCTTAAAAAATTTTGAACTCAAGTAAATTAACGTGCATGTAAAATCCTGTGTCTAGTAGTAAAAAAAAAAAAACGTGTAAAATGTGGAGAATGTAGTAAAAAGTGATATATTTGGGAAGTGATAAATTAGCCGGTAAAGAAAGGATGAAAACGTGTTTATCAAAGATGTACTTTACGGTTGGTTGATAAAATAATGGTAAAAAAGTTGGTGAGAGTTTATTATGATATATTTAACGAAGAAGAACAAAAATATATTTTAACATTCGACTTGAATTAACAAGGACTTAGAAAAAATTTAATTTAAAGGTTAAATTATAAATTTGTATTTAATAGATTCTTGAACTTTTAAAGTGTCTAGCACGACTTGTAATTTTGAATTTTGTATCTAATAGAGACTTGAATTTTTAACTTTGCATTTAATATGTCTTTAATCTAATCAACATTCTTTAAAATTAATATATTTATTAGATATAATTGATTTTTTTTTTGAATACAACATGTTGGGGAGGGAATACGAACTTACAACCACTTGGTTGGAGGTATATGCCAATTAGTGCTGAACTATGCTCACTTTGACAGATATAATTGAAAATTGAGGGTTCTAGTAGTGGGCACATAATTTAATTTCATGTCAAATTGCTAAAATAATTAAAAAAAATGCCAAATATGTCAAAATGACTTATTAGATAAATTCAATGATGGATCAGATACGAAATTGAAAGTTGTATTAGACACATATTTAAAAGTATAAACTTCTAAGTTAACCTAATTTTAAAGATTGAGTCGGTTTCCTAAAGTCCAAATTTTTTTGAGTTAGTTTTACAATTTCCTTAAATATAATCTTCCGGACTTGCCCTTCTCCCTCAGTTATCTCTGAGAGCAAAAATGGAGTCGGAGGTCCAAAAGCCGCCGGCGCTCGCCGTTGTCTCTCAGGGCACTGAAATCAAGCTCCCATCAAGGTCAAGGCCGCCGCCGAAGCGATTTGTGAAGAACCAAATCCCCGATTCGATACTCAACGATCCGGCCTTGAACGCCGCGATCTCCCTCCTTCCCTCCAACTACAACTTCGAGGTCCACAAGTGCGTATGGCGGATCCTATCCACCGGCGCCTCCCGCGTCGCCCTCCAGCTCCCCGAGGGCCTTCTCATGTATTCCCTCATCCTCTCCGATATCCTCACCACTTTCGGTAACGCTTCTCACTGCTTCGTTCTCGGCGACGTCACTTACGGCGCCTGCTGCGTCGATGACCTCTCCGCCGCCGCCCTCCGCGCCGACCTCCTCATCCATTACGGCCACAGCTGCCTCATCCCTATCGACTCCACTACCATTCCCTGCCTCTACGTTTTCGTCGACATTGCCATTGATGTTCCTCGTCTAGTCAACACTGTTCGTCTTAATGTTGATGGTTTTGATTCCACCAACCTCGTGCTCGCCGGAACGATTCAGTTCGCCTCTGCCATTAGAGTTGCCAAGGTGGAGCTCGAGAGGCATGGCTTCCGGGTCTTAATACCCCAGTCCAGGCCATTGTCTGCTGGAGAGGTTCTGGGCTGCACGGCTCCTAAAATTTTCTCATCTGCTTTCGGCAATAGCGGGGAGACTGTTGCGATTTTTGTTGCCGATGGGAGGTTCCATTTGGAAGCTTTCATGATAGCGAACCCCGGGATGAGGGTTTTCCGGTATGATCCATACGTTGGTAAGTTGTTGCTTGAGGAGTATGATCATGAAGGGATGAAGGCCTCGAGAAAAGGCGCGGTTCTGAAGGCGAGGGAAGCAAGAAATTGGGGCATTGTGCTGGGGACCTTGGGAAGGCAAGGGAACCCCAAAATTTTAGAGAGACTGGAGGAGAAGATGAAGTCTAAAGGATTTAATTATACTGTTGTCTTGATGTCTGAGATCAGTCCTTATAGAGTAGCTTTGTTTGAGGATTCGGTGGATGCATGGATTCAGATAGCTTGTCCCCGTCTTTCAATTGACTGGGGAGATGCTTTTGCGAAGCCTCTTCTTACTCCATTTGAGGCTGAGATAGCTCTGGGACTAATCCATGGTTGGTGGGAGAGAACAAGCTCTGTTAAATTGAGTTGTAATGATTGTGAGGGATGTGGATGTAATGGTGACCAACGTGATGAAGTAGAGGCTGAAGGGGAGTATCCTATGGACTATTATGCTCAGGAAGGTGGTGAATGGAACTCTTCCTACGTAAAGAAGAAAGTGTCTCGCCCAGTCCGGAGAGATGTTGTCTCCTGTACCAGTGACAAAGCCATTTCTTTACCTTAGCCTATTTCATATGAGGTATACAAGATTGCTTATTGGTTTAATAGGTTAGAAGTTTTGCTTGACTTTTATTGCTTATAGGCATCTAACGCAGCTTTCTTCAAATATTGTTCAGAAACTGCATTTTGTAATTTGAAGATTGATAGGTGGCAATTTAGCTTTCTGAAATGTAAACGGTGCATATATCAATCATATACATGCTTTAGAATGGTTGAGTTGTACAAAATCAGCTCCTTCAGATTTTATAATTGGTCAGTTGGATAATTAGTTAATTCAAGTTAGTTGAGTAGTTTGTCAGTTAGGTGTCATCGACTCATTGATGTCTGTTCTTATAGGTGGATCCCTTTTTGTCGGGCTTATTTTTTTGTATGCCCTTTGTATATTCTTTCATTTTCTCTCGATCAAAACTTGGTTTCTCATCAAAAAAGTAGTTTGATGCTTTCCCGGCTAGCTTAACCTGTTAACCAGGCCGTTAAGTGGTTGGTTATTATCTGATTCTTGATTCAATATTGAAGGTATCTTTCCGGGACTAAGCAAGGCACGTATTCTTTTACCAAACTCATTTGTACAAGATCGGCTCCCTTGGATTAGTTCATTCACTATTGAAGGCTTGTATTCTTGAAGGAATACATGAATTTTCATATTACCTAGCTTCAAATTGTATCAGAACATTTTTAGCTTAGTGCTTTACACGTGCAGCCTGTTCTCTCAGTATCCAGAAACTTCTTGGAGTTGCAACCGTATCTTCCTTTACTTAAGTCTTCAGTTGATGAGGTGAGTCCCTACTAACTTCATCACAATGAGAGTCTGGGACCGTATTGGTATATCAAGTTATTGGTGGGCAAAATATCTTATCTCAGATCCATGCAATCCTGTTTTTCTATTTAGTAAAAAATAGAGTAGCTTTCATTGATGGATCAGTTCAACATCTGGGTGACTCTGATCTTTTGTTGAATTCATTATTAGAAAGAACAATATGTCGGTCTTTGGATCCTAAATTCGATTCTAAAGAAATTTTGGCAAGCGTGATATACTGCAATTTAACTTCCTTGATTTTGGAAGATTTGAAAGAGAATATTTCTTAGAGTAAGTGAAGGGGATTGCTGAATCTAACTTAAGGCTAGCTCTCAATTAGCTCATATTTTACAAAGTTGAAGACCGGCCAATTCTCATGCACAATGCACCTGTTGGTGGAATTTAGTCTTTATCTCAATACTATCAGGCTTAATACGTGTGATATCTTTTCTGATGGGATGAAACAAGTTCTTTGTGCAGATGCGAGCTTAGTCCTTCTTGTGGATCCAATTCCTCCCATTTACACACTGTTTTCTCTTGTTGTACAAGAAAACATTAATGTGAGTTTAAAGCAGCAAAGGAGAAAGTCAATGTGCACAAAATGTGGCATACCTGAGCACGTGCACATGATTGATCAAAGTTATTAATTACACAGTTATCCTCCTGGTTAGTGGTTACAAGTTCAAAAAAAGGCAAAATTTTTGAGGAGGTTCCTTTTTCAAGTAGTTGATTACTTGTCTCAGAAACAGTGAAAGTGTTTTGGTAAATCTAGCTTCTACTGGCATGTTTGATAAGAAAGGTAAGACACAAATTTGATGTCAAGTGGTCATCTATCAACTACAAAGGTTAACACTACCATTGCAGCTGAAGGATAAAAAGAATCAGGCAAGTACACAGTTTGTAGCGCCTCTTGATTCTATAACTGCTCTAGATAATAGTTTCGGGCAGGCGCTGCTAGCCTATTTGTTTCAACAAAGTGAAATATATGTTTCTCTCTTGATGCGTATTCTGAATGTTTTTAGTATCTTGTCAAGTTCTAATAGATTTTTCTTAAGAATGTTGGTGAAGTGTTGTACTGTTGTTTGCTTTGAATGTTATATTCATGAATATTCTTTTTGTGACTAGTTTCAAGTTCAATCTTTCAGCAAGTCATTTAACCAAGGATTCTTCATTATATGTGCACTTTTTTTTTTTCTGACTCAGGTACCGTTTAAGATCGTTTGGGTTTGAGGATGATGATTGGTAAGGGTAGAAAGGATGATAATTTCTATGCCATTAGTGTTGCTGATGTTCTGCCTGCCTTTTAAAATCTTGAATAATTCTATTGCAAATAAAGTCACCCTTAGGTTGTGGAATTTTTTATTGGGACATTGTCTACTAAGGTTTTGTTTTGGGTTCAATAATTGCTGGGGAGGATTAGAACCATCGATGGCAATGGCGATGGCAATAGGCAGTGGTGCAAGGAACTGACCCAACCCAAAAAACCGAACCGACTTGGTTTGGTTCAGGTTGATTCGAATTCGACAGTGGTCGGTTTGGTTTATCCCAAAAAAATTGAGGGTTTTGTTTTCTTTTTTATGGGATTGTGTGTCCCTCCTTCGGTGATGGCGACACCAACCCCATCGGCCGAACCTGAAAGCCTAGCGGTGACCATTCTGTTGATTTTTCCATGCAAATAACAGTTGAAATCTCGCTTCTCTAGCAGGCGATTTCCTCTGATTTCTGTTTTATTTGGATTTTCTTTCCCTCTATCTGAACCCGAGAAATTTCTCTTTAGAAAAACACCTAAAAATCTCTGAGTTGGTTTGCTTGGCATTTTTATTTCTTTTTCTAGCGTTTTGCAAATGCATTTCCACTAAAACAGAAACCCTGGAAGAGAGAAAACATTACCAAACTCGACCCAATTTGGGTATAAATCAACATGCTTCATGTCAAGTCAATTTTTCTTCTACGGTCCGAAAACCAACCCGACCCGACATTATTACACCCCTACTAATAGGTTTCTCGATTTAAATGATTTGGTCAGGTCTAAATTCCCAATCGTATTCATTGTGATGAATGGGCTATGGGGGACTATTTTTTATAGCCAGTCACAGATGGAGGTCAAAGATATTTTCTCACCTTAGTAGTTGATTGAACTTTTCTATTGAAATGAAAATTTGAAGTGCTATTATACTTCTGTTATTTTTGTTTGTTCAAACTCAAATTTTTTATGAACATAAAAGAAGTTTTGGTATGATCATGCAACTGAATTTTTGCTGAATCTTTTGCTAACAAAGATGTTTTACTAATTAAACCCAAAAAACATATACATCTTTTTACTTTCTTATTTCGAATAAAAATTAAAAACATTATAAAAAGGGACCAAAACAAATTAAACATACAAAATTACTTCCAAACTAAAATAACAATTCAGAGATTCGAAATACTCTTTAAAGGGAAAAAAAAAGTTGTCCAATAAGGAAGTTCTACAACACTCTGTAATTGCATACAAACTCACGACCTCAAATCACTGACATACAAAAGTATGAATAAAATCCAGCCCAACTATTACAAATTTTAGTTTGGCTTCAAAAACTACTTGTAAAAAAACCTATAAATATCTCTTTTGTTTTTTTTTTTAAAGAAAAAAAAAGGCATTCCAAACTTACAACTCCAAGAATCCAACTTACCAATCTCTTTTATGACAATATAAACAAATCTTCAAAATCAAAAACTAACCAAACTTTACTTGACATATGACACAATATTTGAGTATAGGAAGATCATTGTTTTAACATCACGACTCTTCTTTAGAAGCATTTCCTGTGAACGATAGCGGGACCCGATTCGTCGTATTCAGCCTTTGTTATCCACATCTGCATCAATCAATTATAATCTTAAGCAAATTTTGAAACAAAACCTCCCTTTTTGAGAAAAACAAAAAACCGAAAACAAAAACAAAATCGTTATCGACCAAGGAGTAGATCACAAAAGGTACCTGTTGGAAAGTACTGAGGGATGCTAGGATGGATCCTCCAATCCAAACACTGTACTTCCTTTCTGGAGGTGCAACAACCTTGATCTTCATGCTGCTGGGAGCAAGAGCTGTAATTTCTTTGCTCATCCTATCAGCAATTCCGGGGAACATCGTTGAACCGCCACTAAGGACGATGTTACCGTACAAGTCCTTCCTGATATCAACATCGCACTTCATGATGGAGTTGTATGTGGTCTCGTGGATTCCAGGAGATTCCATGCCGATCAGTGACGGCTGGAAAAGTACTTCCGGGCAACGGAATCTCTCAGCTCCAATTGTAATCACCTGTCCATCTGGTAACTCGTAGCTTTTCTCGATAGCTGAACTAGTCCTGGCTGTATCCAGTTCTTGTTCATAATCAAGGGCCACATATGCAAGCTTCTCCTTTACATCACGGACAATTTCCCGTTCGGCTGTTGTCGTGAACATGTAACCTCTTTCGGTAAGAATTTTCATCAAAGCATCAGTTAGATCACGACCAGCAAGGTCGAGACGTAGGATTGCATGAGGAAGTGAAAACCCCTCGTATATTGGCACCGTGTGACTCACTCCGTCACCCGAATCCAACACGATACCTGGCATAGTTTAAAAAAGGACCAAAAGAAAATAAAAATGTAAAATTATATGTAACTAAGTTTCACCCACAATAGAAGAACCAACCCAGTATATTATACATTTAAAATCTTTATAATATCTTGGTTGTGAAAAAACCTGTCATAAATACAAAATATTTTATCTTCAAAAGGGTGAGAAACATTGCTTGAAAAACCAAAGACGACTCCAATCATATAATTCCTATCAGCAACTTGAATAAATTTAAATTTCAATCTTATTAAAGAATATGTCGCTTTCTTTTATCGATGTTTGCATCAATAATCGACAGATTCATTGCTCTTCAACATCTCATCAAATATCTACTAAGTTAAGTTTCGCCATTTCATGGTTATCAAATGAGAAGTATGGTCCAAAGTTCATCGACACGAACCTGTTGTACGACCACTGGCATAGAGAGATAGAACGGCCTGGATCGCGACATACATGGCAGGGACGTCAAAGGTTTCGAACATGATCTGAGTCATCTTCTCCCTGTTTGCCTTTGGGTTGAGTGGTGCTTCAGTAAGAAGTATCGGATGCTCTTCCGGAGCAACACGAAGCTCGTTGTAGAAAGTGTGATGCCAAATCTTTTCCATGTCATCCCAATTGCTTACAATGCCATGCTCAATTGGGTATTTCAATGTGAGAATACCCCTTTTTGACTGAGCTTCATCCCCAACATAAGCATCCTTCTGGCCCATTCCAACCATCACACCGGTATGTCGTGGTCTGCCAACGATACTAGGAAACACAGCCCTCGGGGCATCGTCCCCAGCAAATCCAGCCTGAAATGTTGAAAAAAGTAGTAGGAATAGGCATCAGCACAACGGCCCCATACACACATCATTGTTACTAAAAAGTAGTTAACAGCTTCAAAGCAGTCAAGAAATCAGGAGGAAAAAAGAAATTCAAATCCTATTTTGATTCTTAAACCTTCCTCCTTAATATTAAAATGCAGTCAATAACGTTTCCGTTGTTTTTTTAATTTCATCCATAATATTTTAAAATTTTCAATTTTGTACTATACATTTTTTTCAATTAATGAAAAAATGTTAAAAAGATTGACAGTATATAAATTTAAAACTGGTTATTTTAATTGAGGTTACAAATATTATTATTTTTAGTATCCGGTTAATAATTGTTCATTAGTATACAAACATTGGATCAATATTTCTTTCAATAATTGCAAGCAATTTCAGCCCAAATTACTAAGCATTAAATCATATAAAGTGAGTAAGTTTTCAACTTTATTCGTGGGTATTATATCTTTCTCATCATATTAAAATGTAGACTCAATTAATCAACTATATTTTGATATCACATCAACTTTTTGTGAAGTTTACAAATAAAGACTTGAAGGAAAAAAGAAAATTCAAAGGAGTAAATTCCAAAATTTTGAAAGATTAAGGACTAAAACATTAAGTATTAAATTATATAATTAGCCCTTCTTATGTATCGATCCACGAGCTTCGAATAAAATTTCATTTTCTCGTTTAGTACAAGTAGGGTGGGAGATTCGAATAAGTCACCTCTTGGTTTTAGAAAAATGTTAATTACCGCTGAACTAAGTTCATCTTCGTATGTGAAACTTTGTTAACTTGTGTTTTAAGCTACATGTATCGAGTTCAGAAACAACCAAAATGAATTACTGAACGGCAACGAAGAACATGTAACTAACCTTGACCATTCCAGTTCCATTATCACAGACAAGAGGTTGAATATCCTCACCATCCGCCATGTTTCAAACTTCACCTGAAACTGATAACATACAACATAAACAAATTTCATCATCAAAACAAACCACATGATCTCCACTTTTGAAGAAAGATTCAGATTAAGAATGATCAAACCAGCAGTTCATCAAGCCCCAAAATCACAAGGCTAAAAATATCATGTTAAGTAGAGAGCATCACAAATTAAGAAAACCCAGCAATCGGCTCAGATATGATCATGCAAAACATTGAAGAGATTGAAGAAACAAAGCGGTAGAGAGATGATCATATTCGATTACTAAAAAAAAGGAACCCAATAAAAAAAGGGGGAAAATCTTGCAGAAAATCCGATGAACAACTAACAGAAGCATATGCAAGAGAAATTGAATTCCATCATCGAAAAGTAAAAGGAACGATCAAAGAGAACTAACCGATCAAAACCCAAAAAGGAAAAAGAAAAAAAACAGAACCCCAGATGGAAGAACTGTAAAACCCCAACTAGGGAGACGTACCTTGATTGCAAATTCGGAAACAGAGCGAAGATGAGAGAAGAAACAGAGAGGGAGAGGGGTTTTGTGGAAATGGGAAATGGAAAATGGGTAGCAGACAAAGGTTTATAAAAGGGGGAAATGAGAGCGAAATGCAAATGCAAATGAGACCCAAATACAGAAATAATTCATTTTGGGCAGAGAGAAAGAAGAGAGAAGAGGAGGAAAATTCCAAATTCCAAATACCAGATTCCAAATTGGAGTGAATGGGGATTTTGCTTGCCATATTCCAAGAGTTTGGTGTTATTAGCACGTCAGCATGGGCGGCTATAAAGGCGAGGACGGTGCCATTTCAGCATGCCAGCTGCCGCCCCTCGTGTTTCTAACTCATGTCTGAGTTGGCCCTTCCCTACTTTTTCATTTCAAAATTTAATAAGCATAATTCTAGATGCATTTCACAACTACTCTAATCCCCCCCCCCCATTTGGCTATTAATCTTATGGGTAAGAAAATACTTTGCCATGTAGGCGCTAGCTGGGTCGGTAGAGGTTGACTAGGTGATGCCACGTGGGTATTCAACAAGATGAGTTGAAGATGTGAGCATAGGTGTGTGATACCTCGGAATATCTCGGCAACCATACGAAAGGGTCATCGACATGTCATCCACCTTGGTGTTTGCTATACAATAACAACGCGACAGACGCTCTAGGGTCAAGTACAGATCACTTGGGTATGCAAGTCACATCCTAAGATTCTCTTTAAATACTTGAATCACCATCGAGCATAGATGTGTGACATCACTCTTATTTCTCAGCTTGACAATACTATCTTATTGTGCCACACTAATGTCGGGTCTCTTTGCAAGTTATCACTTTGGTCGAGTATTTCTCTACTTCGAATCTATAGCAAAATTTACTTGGGCTAGAATTGCGCATCAACAATTACAATTCAAATTTGAAATAGAAATTTGAACCTACCTATTATAAATTTTGAATTATTATAAGTGTTTATTGAGATATGTGTGAGAGAATAGAGGGGATTATTAAGCAAATAAGTTGATCTATCAATAATTAATATATGTAGTGAAAAAATTAGCATTGAATTTTTTTTAGAGTATATAACATCTCGGAGTGAGAATTCAAACTTTTGACCTATAAAATAAATAATTAATATCTTAACTGTTGAACTATGTTTAGATTGACAACGATAATAACATAGTTGATCATGAAGTGAGTTATATATATGATTCTAGTATTATAGTTTAGATTTATTAGAGGGTCACTATTTGACTCACCTTCACAAACAAAGAGAAAAAGAGATGAACTAATTTTCAAGACAACCAGGAGTCAAAGGTAGGAGACAAGAAAGTTAAGAGAAGGGACATTATTTGTGAATTTTCCTATCAATAAATTTTATTTTTGGTAAACAAACTTTTTTTGTATTTCAAAATTTGGTTTAGATTTTCATGATCATTTTCGAGCAGCTCTTTCAACTGTCGCCTAATCACCTCATTGACCAATATTGACGTCCTGTAATGTCGTTGAGACCTCTCCACCCAGCTCTATCGACATACCTTTTCTTTTGCAATAATTACAAAGGTCTCTTCCTGAAACAAACACGAAGAAAGAGTTAGGAAATAACTCCTATCATAAGAGGAGTAGGAGACACACCCGAACTATTCTTAAGACCACCAAACCCTCAAGAAACGGTCGGACAGAAAGTGGTTTGTGAACGTCCGGCCAAACAAAGGCCAAGAATAAAAACCTCTTCAATTTGAAAAGTAAAACAAAAATTATTAAGAAACAAACTTAATTATAAAAAGCATAAAATTATTATCAAACGAAGTTTTACCTATTCAATTTTAATCTAAAAATAGTCTCATTTTTTTATGTTAATGAAATTTGAAAAAAACCATCAGTGTCAAAATGGTAGCTTTCACATTTGAATTGAATAAGGTGATTGAAATTTGAAAAATGATGTTGATATTAATATTGTTTTTAGTATATAAATACATGTTGCAATTTGTCTAGTTCAAGAGTTCAAGAACCTTTTTTTTTTTTTTTTCTCTAGTTCAATAATTGTCTTAGTCTTACATTAATAAGAAAATTAGTATTTGAATTGAAGAGTTGAACTTCTATATAGATAGATTAATTAGACTCCACCAACCATTGGCAATTATTTTATTTTTGGATTTTTATTTTGGGTGCAAAATTCGAGCTAAGTTTTATATTTGAAAAAATTAATTCTTCTTAACTATTTTGTTTTTAATTTTGAAATTGGGTCAAATTTTGAAAAAAAGTTCCTAAATGTTTGAAAGAAAAAAGAAAAGCTTTCAAACAAGCCTTTTTCTTTTTGGAGGATATTACAACAAACATTTTTTTTAATAACAAATAACTAACAAAAATAACTAGTTTGGAAAGAAATAGAGAAAATACCTAATATTTGGTGGATGTTTTTGTTTAAAAAAAATTTGAGTGGGTAGCTTCTTTTTAAACATATTTATTAACTTATATTCTTATAAGAATAATTATAGATATCGTGTTTTTATTTTATTAAAAGAAAGTAATTACAAAATATGATATAAAAAATTTCATTAATCACTGATACTTAGATGATGATAATTAATATATTTTTATTTTATGTGATAATAAGTCACTTATGTAATGGTAATTTATTAGCTAAATGGTGCGTGTATTTTCAGAATTAGTGATTTAGTTGGTTATTAGGTAAATCTAAGGCTACATGCGTCAAAGCTCCAATTACGCCATTTAGACCAAGTTCATGGAAAGCGAGCGCACCAGGCTCAAACTCGAGTGCACCGGTTTGGTGTACTCAGGCTACCTATACAAGCGATAGTCAACGGGCAAGTTGCTGACACCTTGTGTCGAATTACGATACGCTTTAGGCAATCGCGCAAGATGTTGTCGCGCTCCCCTTTGGTGATGCACGAAGGGAAGGAGAATGTCAATAGTCCCAACTACCCCTGACACGACATTCCACCCTGTGTGTCCTGCTCTTTCTTGGACTACATGTATAAGGAAGAGCGAAATAACCCTAATCGAGGTAAAACAAATTTCCCTACATGACTCATTGTGAGAATTCGACACAGATAATCTCAAGCAGATCACTCTCACTGAGATTATATTATTGCTTCATTCTTCTACTTGCTTCATAACAGTGTGCTCACATCTAATTAAGTTCTAACATAGGCATTGAGAACTTAGGTACGGAGTCGTTCTTGCTCTTTTTTATGTAGCTCTAATCCTTTTGACTTTTTGCTTCTCACGTCTAACTCGAACCTTCCTTTTCCTTGTGCAGTATCAATCAGGCCAATCCCCGAACTCACTCAAGCATCCTTTGATACACTTAAGTTTTACAAGGATCACTTTCCAAAGGGCAGGAAGATCGGAACTCTGGTAACCGACAGGCTACTCCTTGACTTTGGGTTGTTGGATTACTACTCTTTAGTTCGTCCAATCGAAGCTTCAAGGCCGAACTTCGAGCTCGGTAATTCGTGCTCGACCTCGGCTTCAAATCCATTTTTTTAACCTTTTGCTTGTTTACCTTGCAGCCATGGTGTGCGGTTTCACAAGTAATGTGAAGCGCAAGTCTAAGGGTCGTGCTCACGCCCTTAAGACCGTTCAGAGCACGGGGCCAACAACTCCTATTGCGGCTCGACTTGCGGCACAAGGCAATGCTGGTCCATCTTCTGAAGTCCCCACTCCCGTGATCGAACTAGAGTTAACTGGGGATCACTCCGGGGAAAAGCGCCCAAGGGATGAATCTGAGGCGTTGGACGTATCTCCCCTGAACGAGGTGAGGGGAGAGTCTCCTTTGAAGAGGAGAAGGAAGAAGAAGAAGACCACCTCCTCCTCGGAGGCCGGACCTCGTGGGACCCTGCACACGAGCCATGCTAATCTAGTGGACGACCCTGAAGCCAGGATGGAGGGGACGTCCGATGTGCCAATGCGGTTCCGGGTCGAACCATCAAGCTCTAAGGCGAAGGACCAGGTGTCCCGCATCTCGGCATCATGCTTGGATCGCTGCCTTCGCAGGGCATCCAAGTTTGTAAGCGATCCTGGGTCCGTTCTGCAAAGGACCATTGATCACGCTGCTGTGGTAAGACTTGCTTCCTTTACTAATTTTGTTTTCCCAACTTATAGCCTGGTCTGACCTTTACGCGCTTTGTACTCGCAAGCGTTCATCGCCTTTATTCACTCGGCCGTAGTGATGAAGGCCGAGCTGGACGGAAGAGAAACCTTGGCCGCTAGGGAGAAGGAAAATTCCTCTGCTGCCTGGAAGCTGCTACCTCAATGAAGGGCGAGTTATTAAAGGCTCGCTCCGAAGTGGAGATTCTGAAGGCCGAGGTGGAGGCCAAGGCTCTGCTGCTAAAGAAAGAGGAAGAAAAGCACAAGGCCCACCTCCG